TAATCAAAGGTTATTCATATTCACTCTCAACTAACAGGATATGAATGTCCCTTTAATTTTAATTCAAGGTTTTGAAGAGACAGAATACCAAAAAACATACGCAATTTAACTGGGTTCTTCCAAGTATTACAAAGCATTTAGTAGCAGTGTACACAAATTAAATGCAGAAAAAATCTTGAAAAAAATCACATTTGACCACATAATCAGATTTAATCCAAGGTTTAAAACAAAAAAAAAAAAAAAAAAAAAAAAGGAGGAGAGAGAAGGGGAGAGAGAGGGAGATATTCCCAAATGATGCAGAATTCAGTCAAGCTATGTTTATTATCTAAGTTCTGAAAACAGCCCATTGTTTCCCAAAACACAGTAGCCTCTTTTGCAGAGAACAGAAAGGATACAGGTCTCTAAAGAAGTTAAAACTGGAAATAATGAACAGAGGATTTAGTATTTACTGAACTGCAGATACACTTAGTACTGGTTTTAGTTACGAAAACATTGGATTGAGATAACTGGACGGAACTGGACTTCCCTATGCTTCGTTCCTTTGCTTTTTTCCCACCTATTACTTCTCCTTTACCTAAAAAAAAATAAAATAAAAAAATCACTATTTGAAGTAATCATCCAGCAATACACGTGTTTCCGACAAAAACATTTTCTTTATTCCAGACAAATGTGAGTCCTTACCTGTCTCAAATGCAATAATTCAGTGTAGATTTGGAACAGAATTATGACAACTTACCAACTGAGGATTTACTGCTGAGAAATGATTCTGTGGGAAGAACAATTGCAAAACTCTTCCCAAAACAAAACAAAAAAATCCCAGATTGATATTAAGTCACCATTCTGGAAGAAGGCACTGGCATATTAAAATCAAGGAAGCTGACAATTTACAACAGTTAGAGAAGGACTAGCTCTACCTATCATTTTAGGGTTAGATAACAGTCATGTTTCTGTCAATTCCCTAAACAAGGTTTCAAGAAACATACACATGCACTTTTAATTTCTACGAACTGGTCAGTCATAACCTTCAATGTTCAGAAATTAATAGTCTTAGCAAAGCTCCAAGAAACCAAATTAAAACTATCGGTTTCAAGATCCAACTCCCAAACCTAAAATTCAAATTTAAAAAAGAAAAAAATAATAATCACATGATCACTAAGGTTGGACAGGACCTTTCGAGATCACTTCACCCTACTGTTGTTACCCACAAACTCCGATTTGGATGGCTTCGCACAATAGTTTTTCCTTACGTTTTGTTTTCCAAATTTCTCTTTTGCAATACAGAGTAATGTTATCTCTGGATCCTAGTTTATATTTCTCTACATTTAATCTCAGTTGTCTGTTAACTCCAGCTTAATGTCTTACAGGACATCAAGAGATGTCTGTGTTTATGCATCTTCATTACAGTTTCACCAATTGTGAGTAACAGCTTGAAAAATAAGTGCATCAGAAATTACAAACTAGAGGTACAGGAACAACCATGAAGAACACAGAGTTTTGATGGAAATTCTAACTGTTCCTTCACTGAGCCTGAAATTAAAAACTGCAATGTGAACACAAGTGTTTTGATTGAAAAATTTAAAAATTTATACATTAAAGAATATAGAACAGATAAACAAATTGGGTTTGACATTGCAAGGCATGAAATTTTCCTTTCACCTTATTAAAGCAATGCTCTAAGTATTCTGATACTCATACACAGGGAGACAACATTTATGTATACACTTCTCAACAACCATGCTCTGGATGCTGCTGTAAGTCTCCTTCACAAAATTTTTAAAGAAATAAATATTGTTGTAATTGCCTGTTGGGTGAATCCTCCCTCTTACACTGCTGAATCAGAAACTTAAAAGATTTCCTTCACATCTTCAATTTCAGTACCATAATTACAGGCCCTAAAATACTCAAAAGGATTAATGTCTTGAAAATATAACACTTGGTCCCCTAAACATATGCTGAATTTTTTCCTGCTATGCAAAGGAGAATAGGTTTGCAATATCTCAGTGGACTTAATATTTCTCCTTTAGGATACTCTTTTATTCCAGGTTTACAGCAGTATCATTAGTCAAATCATATCCTCAGCCCTAAAAAGAGTGTTGGGGTTTTTTTTAATAGCATTATTCATATCATTTTCTGTAAGACCACTCTTGATGTAAAGAAAGAGCTCTGTATGAATTCTTTCATAGACTTCCCCCCTTGCTACACCCAACACTAATTATTGTACTGCACAAAAACACCCCTCTCCCTGTCAGATAGCTGTCAAAGAAACCACAGAAGTTTCCATTCACCTTTGGTTTAAAAGTATATATAAATTTTTAAAACCAAAAGTGTTTATCTCTCAATGATGCTGCACTTACATCACTGGTGAAGAAACAATATTGCCCTTCTTCCTCCAAAAGCTATGCAAGAAGCCAAAAGATAGACTAGGGCAGGAAATGAGTAGCACTGTTTCTAGATAAGGCAACTAGGTGGCAGGATGGCAACAAATTCTCTGAAACTTACTAACCATGAGAACCATTTAGGCAGTTAAATATGTTCATTTGATCAACACTTCATCCTTGCAATGACACATCTAAACTAGTTCTTCCCACTTATGAAAAAGATTTGATTTAACACAGGTTGGCGTGATAGGCAGAAATTAGACACCTGATCAAAACAGACTCATTTGTAGATTTCAGTATCCATTATATTACAGTTTTGTCTGCCCAAATGCATCACAGATGTAATTCCCATTTTATTTCATTATTTCATTTGAGTCTTAAATCTTTGAAAAGCAGAATGTTTGCTTTTATGCAGAGAAAATGTGAAGGATATTTTCCAGTTCCAAATATTTTTGGCTCAGAGCCCAGAGCTTTTGTTGCTCTGAGGTGAAACAGTCTTCCCTGAAGAAAAGGAAAACAAATTGAAAGACCTTTACCAACAGCTACTGTTGGATTCCCTTTTAAATGATCCTGATTGTTATCACATGTTTCATCACTTCATCTCCTACTTTGTTCATCCTGATGTTTAGGCACAGCAGAAGGATTATGTACAAACTACTATAAGAACAGAAGTGAAGGATAAATTATATTATCATATATTTCATCTTGACAACCTGCTGCCCTCAGTAAATTCAGGCCAGAAAAACAATGCTTGCAAGATTCCAACTAATACATATTACTTTTCTGCTGATGGAGGTCATAATTTGTCTTTTTGTCTAACCTGTTTTCTCTCCTGAAAGCTGCTGGTTTTGCAGCCATTTTCATGCTCTAAATTAAGCCCAGGGCTATTTCCAATACATCTGTCTGAGGATGAAGAGGCACAACTTCTGAATTATATACCCATCTTCTCAATTTCACCAATGCTGGAATACCACTTCTAGTGAGTAATTAGAATAGGATTATTAAAAAAAAAAAAAAGCTTCACAACTGGTAAAACAGAGATTAAGAACTGCCCACTACAGAGGTTAAGTCTCTCTCTTCCTGGGGGAGAGCATTAATGAATGAAGTAAGCAACACTAGCTCTCCCATTTATGTAGAAGCATTAGCTTTTGCTGAACACTTATCATAACATCATATTGTAATACTATATCAAGACAACTAAACTTTCAAATCATAACGGTAACATATCCTCACTTTCCCAGAGAATAGGAAAAATTTCCAGTAAACACTGAGTACTGCCAAGAAATGAAATCTGGCTATATTATTTTGTTTTAATGATTTATACAGCTGTTGCACACATTCTACTTTCCCCTTTATTATGAATACTGACTGATTGCACAGCAATTGTTACCACTTCATGGGAAGCAAGTATCCTACGGTGCAAAATACTGAGCTAACGTTGCGTTGCTGCTTAGGAGTTTACATAACCTACTAATTAAGTTCTGGAACTGCAAGTTAATTGCTGTAAAAGTCTTGAATATTGTTTTAAGAGCTTGTTTTTCCCCCCTTGAAATAATAACCATCTCCCTCAAACCCCTAGTACAACCAGAAAAGATGTTTCCATTCCTGTCAGGAAATGCTCTCCAGGAATGAAAGTAACAACTGGCTGGCTCTGATACAGCCCAGATCACTTAACATTCTGCAAAGGGAGAATGGCACTGGCCTGATTGTCATCTGTTACTGATCTTAGACAGATGTTGCTATCACAGTAGATTTTATGAAAGCCTTTTTGACATTCTTCTATTAATTCTGAAGCTTAAATTTTCTAAGTTGTCCAGTGTTGAGGGTACAATACTAGCAAAATTAAAAAAAAAAATAATAATTTTTGACACCTCCCACACTCCTTACCAAGCTCAGGACAACTGATAGTTAAGTCCATGCACAGGACTACTGACAAATACAGCTTGTAAACTGTAGATACTGCAGTTCAGTAACTGTTTATGAATGTTTCCATTATTTTGCAAGCTACACAAGTTGAACATTATCATGCATCAACAACCGAGCCACAAGTCATTAAAGCACATAGTTTACCCACAGATATTAAGCCAGATTGGTTTGTTCACCCCATGTACGAGTCACGGGAATACTTGTTTCTTTACTATTCAGCATTGTCTGCACAAGCTAAAGAGTAATTTGTTTCTTCAACACCTTCAAAAATACATTCACACCCTTAAAAGTCACTTGCCTGAAAAAGTTGCATGTAAATTACATAGCCGCTTTAGCAATAATATTGTTTTCATTATTTGGTGCAAATTTTACTTCTGCATTTTCTATTCTTGAAACAAGGATCAGGTGAAAGCAAGGTGTGAGATAGCTTTCTTTTCTCCATTTTCAACCAGAGATTTAGAACTTAGTCATACCTATAATTTCATCTTTTCATTTAAATTGGGTTTTTTTCATAGATTTCAATTCAGCTGATTAAAAACTAAATCAGTTTTAAAATGTTTATAACAATTCTCAGCATTTGTAGTTCTGCTATGCACTTTTGGTCCACAAACCGACCATGGGAAAAAAAAAAAAAAAAGAGTCCTTTGTAAGCATAAAACTAAAACAAACTTCCTGGTGACAGCACACAGGCCTTACCTGCATCATAGTGACCACATGGCAGGGATTCAGGAGGTAAATGACTGTCCTGGTGGCAAATTTGAAGCCCACCTCCAGCCCGAAGATGAGACAGAGCACCACCAGCAGCACATTCTTGCCCAAACTCTCCTGCTTAGTTTGGGGCTGCTGCAGCAGGTGACCCTCCAGCTCCCTGAAATGCAGCTGCCTGAGCTTCCACAGGGACAGAAGGATCTCCACAACGCCCACAGTGAGGAAGATCAAACTCTCCAGAAAGCGCTGCTGCCCAGAGAGAAAGGCTGCGCATTCTGGCCCTCCGTTGCCAGCAAAACTGGGGTCCACACCCCCATACATCCAGTCCAGGAGATTATGGAGGCTGTAACGAGACATGGTGGGACTGTGCCTCTTCTTCTCCCCGTCACTGCCCAGGAACAGGTAGGAACAAGATGGAATCAAAGCCAAAATGCTGTCGGGCTGACGAAACATGAAACGCAAGGACGGCCTCTCTGTAGTCCCCTTCCTCCCCAAGCTTCTGGAGAAGCACGCAGCTCAGCTCGGGGCAAGGCTAATTTTTGGGTTTTCCTTTCGACGCCAGGACGAGACCCGCAAGCAGCCGCCTGCAAGGAGGGAGGAGCCACAGATGAATGGAGCCTGCGAGCAGCGGCGAAAGCCCCTCGCCTCGGGACCCTTCCTCTTCCCCGCCGGCACTGCCCGCCCCCACCGCTCGCTCCCCCCTGCCCGATCGCCACAGGACACCGCTCCGACCCGCCCTCACGTCGTGGCCGCCTCTCCCCGCTCCGCCCGAACCCGAAGACGCCGCCCTCCCGCCGCCCCTCGGGCCGCAGCCCGCCCGGCCGTGGCCCCGGTACCTCCGTCGGTGGGGACGGGTGTGTGCCCCGTCAGGGAGCGCGGAGGGGCTGGGAGGAGGCAGGCGCAGCTCCCCCCGCCATGGCGCCGGCCGCGGTGAGGGAGGGGAAGGAGGAAGCAACGCTCCCCTCAGCGGCGGCGCCGGCAGGGCTGAGGGGACGAGCCCGCGCGAGCGGGCCGCTCCCCGCTGCCGCCGCGTCCCGCGGCTCTGCCGGCCCCTTCCCGGCGCCGTGGCATCACCCCACCGACGTGCCTGACTCACACCGAGGAATGGACGAGCCCCAAGAATTGGCTGCGCCCGGCCGCCCGCTCCTCCCTCCGCCCTGGCTGCTCCCGCCTCCCGCGGCCGCCTTCGCTCCCCGCCACCCCCCTTCGCCGCCGCGGCGGCTTTTACCTCAGCGGGCTTCGCTCGCCTCTCCCTGGCTGTCCCCGTCCTCGCCCTCCTCTCGGCTGTTGCCTCAGCTTTTGCCCGCCTGCTCCCCGTCCTCCACCCCCACGCAGCCGCCCGGCTCCCCTCATTGCCACGGGCGGAGAGGAAGTAAAAGGCCGGCGATAGTCTTCCTCGCCGCTTGGGCTGCGGCCCACCCACGATCGCCCTGCCGTTCGCCGACCCGATTCAACAAGCGGCGTTAACTAGGTAAATTAGTTTCTCCGGTGCCATTGAAGCAGGTATTAGTCGGCTAAGCATTTACATCTTTAGGGTGTGTCATAAAGGCCAAACTTGTGAGGGGGTTCAGTTCAACCTGAAGGCGGGAAAGGGTGCGCAGCCAGCCCTGGCCTTGTGCAGGACGTGGGGCACAGGCCGTGTTCGTGAGTCTTGCACTCGTGTGTGTGCAAAACTGGGCCCTGTGCTCGGGGACCAGGTTTGGCTCCTGGCACAGCTGGTTTGTGGCCCTGTGGAGCCATTGTACTGCGAGCGCGTAACTGTTTCCATCTGAAAGGCAAGGGTAGGTGGGGATCTAGGCAGAGTAGTGGGTTAAGGAGATGTTGTTAAGGTAGTTAGAATCGTGAACAAACACGCCTTGAGAGCTGTCTTGTACTACAGATTGTATGTCATGTATACCCTGCCTGTAGCACGTCGATCTCCCCTTCTTGGCCATTACAGGACAGCACTGTCGCCAGCCAAACTGAGTTGAGCCTGCTTAACTGAAAACAAAAGCTCAGTTCCACAAATAAGTTTGAAAAGACCCAGCAGATACCTCTACTGGCTGAGTGGGAGTGATTTCTACATAGGCAGAGAAGCAGCAACACCTGGTCTGTAAAGGTCTGGGAGGGAGTATGTGTGTGCTATTCTGCTGTGAAAGAAATTACTCCTTTTTTGGGGAAAGAAGGGGGAGCCAGGATGCTTTTCCAAGATCTTCAAGGACTTCTTTCCACAATTAGAGCTTGATTAAGAATTATTCTACAAAATACTGTTTTCTCAGTCATTGCTGATTCATTAAAACACCTGTTGTTGATCTGATTATGCACAAACCTGCTGCAGAAAGTGAATGTACAGAAGTCAGATGCACAACCAGAATAGGCACAAGCCTCCTGCAAATGTCTCCCACACTGACTGGACATGCACACACCTGCAACACAAACCTGCTGCATTAACCTGCTTCACAGCCTGAATACTCAAAACAAGCAGCTCAGCCAATATTTTGGCAGTTCTTTTCCTCCTCTGTTTATGAAATACAGGATTACTGCTCACAAAGATAAGCACAGAGTATTTTCTCTCAAAGGGTCTAGCAATTGGATTGTCTGCTGCCATGAAAAACCTGAAGCAAATCTCTTCCTTTCTACTCCCTCAGTCACATACAAGAGGAGAGCTACTGCTGCTAAAAGTAATCCCAGGCAGGTTTATACCTTGCCTCTGCATTTCATCCAGTCTCTCACCTTTTGCAGTGTCTGTGGGCTTTTTCTCTGACTTCTATTTTCCTCAGCTTTCCTTTGGTGAAGTGAAAAAAACCTATAATTACAACAGCAATACGCTGTATCTCAGATGTAGTGATTTCTTTAGAATATGGATTAGCCACAAGAATATGAGGGCTTGGTTGGGTGGTTTGGTTTTGGTTTGGTTTTTTTTTTTTTTTTTTTTTTTTTAGAGAATGACAGTGAAGAATAACTGGCTGACTGTGAAAGTGGGCAGTATTTTGTCCACAAAAAAAGGCATTTGCAAAATGACAGTTTGTTGACCATAGAAGAGGAAGGAAAGAGAACAGCTAAAGAAAAACAGACATCATGAAAGCTAAAGATTGAATCAATTAATAGTTAAGACTTTATAAATTCAAAGGGCACATTTATCCCAATTATGAGTAGAATAGAAATAATAGTAAGGTTAGCTTGACCACACCATGAGGTCTCGACCTTAAGAACATGAAAGAAATGTAAAGGAAGATGGTCAGATTACTAAGAATTAGAAAGATTAAAAAAGGAATGCTGCAAAACAATTGAGCTATCAAGAGCTATCAACTAAAAAGTGCTCTGTAAGTATATTCATAGTAAGAGGAAGACAGAGAAAAATATTATCCCATACTCAACAGAGAAGGAAATCCGTCACCAAATTATAAAGAAAGCTAAAGTGATTGCTTCCTTGTTTGTATCAGACTTCCAAAAAAGATCACCTGCAACCTGATAGTTAGGACTGGTGATGCTGAGAACAAAGTTATCTCAGCCCAGAGTAGGTAAAGAACAGATTAGGAACACTCAGATAAACCAAATGTTTTCAGATAGTTTGAGTCCAGTGAACACGATCAAAAGGCAGTTAAAGAACTGTCTGAATTAAGATGGTGAATGCAATACTGAAAAAACAGAAAAAGCAGCTGTAAATTGCTGTTATCAAAGAAAGGACAGAAACAGAGAAATACAGCTCGATCAGTGTAACTAATTTAAATCCCCAGAAAAATCTGGGGACAAATAATCTCACAAACTATTATTAGCACATAGATGATAACCATGGAGTGGTTATCATGGAATTAGCACATAGATGATAACCAGGAAATGATAGCAGTCAACATGAATCTGTCAAAAATAAATCACACCAGATAACTTAATTTTTCTCCTTCAATAAGGAACTGTCCTTGTGGATAGGATGGAGCCTGTTGTCAGTTTGATTAAGTTTTTGACACTTACCTGACATTTTCATTAAAAAGTTAGAGAAATATGTTCTGGATAAATGTATTATAAGGTCTATAAAAAAAATTACTGGATATCTAGCAGTAGTTCACCGTCAAAAGGAAGGAATATATTGCTGGTTCCTAGAGCCTGTCTTCAGTCTGGGTCTTTTTGTTACTGTTATTAACAATGTCAATAACAGAACAGAGAACATACTAATTTTGCAGGTGATGGAAAGCTGAGGTGGACACAATTACGTTTTAAAATAGTCTTGACCATTAAGCAGCATGCTTTTCCAAAAAAATAAGATATTCAGTAAGATCAATTTGCATCGTACTTCAGCATATTATATAGGCATATAGCGTGCTGAAATTGTCACTGCCTTTCCTCTTCCTCTTGCTACTCATTTCCTCTCACATTGTCTTATGCCAGCATAAGCTTTTCTAGGGCTATGTGGTTGACTGTATGAGGAAGCTGATTAACATTACAATTACAATGCCAGAGTTTGTTGTAACCTGGAGCACTTTGCTGATCTATTTGATCTTATTTTGGGTTGTGGCAATGGATGAGGTGGCCTGCTAATTTCGTGCTTCTCTGCAATTTTCCACTCATTAGAAAGAAGGAGCATAGCTGGTATAATACTGGACATCCAGGTATGATTGATAGTTCTTCGCAACAGCACAATATTGTTAATTCACGTTCAGATTGTGATCTACTATAAATCCAAAGGAGCTGGCTCTTTTATCTTGATCTGCTGGGTGTCTTAGGCACAGTTCCTTCATTCTCTCTGTTTCAGTTTCTTCAGCTTCTTTGAAAAGGACTCTGAAATCTGCAAATAACAATTTAGTATTATTGACTGAATGCTAAGCCATTGCTCTTTTCTGTTTGTTAACATTTCTTCTCATCCTTTCACTAAATAATTTAGGCTCTTACTGAGATCCATTGTAAACATATATATCTCCTATGTCAATAGAAACAGTTCTCCAAAAGCAATAAATTCCTGTGACTAAATTGTTTGCAGAAGAGCCTGAAGCTTGTTCTTGTATCTAACATGAGATTTATGTTTCTGTCTGTGGCTTCTTGAAATACAAAAATGGTGAAATCTAACGTTAATCCATGAAGAAATGCCAGGGCCCCGAGTGTGCCAGTAGTTGTTAACTGCCCAGAGCAGCCTTGTGTAGGGCTCCTACTCACAGATCATCTGTGTGGGAGCTCCATGTGGGCTCCGGCCCAGGCTCCAGCCCTCACCCAAACTGTGCAGTAGCCGGACTTGTGTCCTCAGCTCTGCTCTTTGCTGTTCCTGACTTGTTGACTGGGCTTCCCTCACTGGCCTTGGACCTGACTTGTCACCCCTCATTTCTCTAATGATCACTGGACTCTCCACAGAAGCTGTCACCATCCCCAGCCCCGTTCTGCTCGCCCGGCTTGGTGCTGTGAGGTTGTATCCTTGTTGGCAAGGTCACTGTCCCTGCCCGTGCGTGGTCACCCTCAGCTCTCAAATTGCCTGCCTTGGTGGAGCAGCCCCACTCTTGCGGCACCCTGACAATGTATGAAGTTCAAAGTCAGCTTAAGTAACATTGCTCTCTCTGTAAAATAAAACACTGCATCTTGTCTCTCCCTAATGTATCATTTGCAGATTCCATCTTAAGTAAACCTGGAAGTAGAGGCAAGGCCTGAAGTCTTGTATGTGGTAGATATCATAAATAAGCACCAGAAGTAGCAGAGGGACTAGAAGACCTTAATTCTTATTCAAGAAAAGCATTTAAGCACATGCTTAGCTTAAGCCTGTCCTCAAATCCTTTGAATTTAAGTATACAAATTGAGACCTTTCCTCAGCATCAAGCTATATCGCTGTGTTTTAGAAATGTGATTCTACACATCAGTATGTAGTTACACCTGTAGACTTATGAGAAACTGTGTCCTTGTTGTATAGGATTTGTTTAAAAAAAAAGAAAAAAGAAAAAACCCACAAACAAAATGTACAACAAAGTAAAATAACATTTTACGTCTTGAAATGTTTCTGGCAAATAACAATATTCACAGGTATAACTGAAGGCATCAGAAGAGTTATTTTAACAGTGAAGTTGTAATTTATCATGCACTTCCATGCACAAAGCAATAAATTCTAATGTTTAGGAGTTTATTAGATTCTTCTAGCTGATGGAAAACTGGATTGTTTTAAGTGTCAGTATGAATGATTAATCCTTTATTTGTAATTTACAATGTATTATGCAAAAACAGATGACCACGGCTTTAGGAAAAAAATCCACTATATTGTGGGTACTAATGTGAAGTTAAAAAAAAAATAGATTGAGAGGGATCATCGTCTTAATGATGGTTGGAACTGGGTGTAGTTGTCAGATCTCTGAGTACATTCCCCATGCTGTCCTCTGACACCACTCTGTTGTTTGGAGCTGATGCATCTCTTTGAAGCATAGGGAAAAGGGGTTTTATTTCTCTTTCTTGAAAGAAACCTGAAGCACAAAATGATTGTGTCCTGTCTAATTTCACATAGTCTGTGGCAGTCAG